ATTTCAGGGTGGCTTTTAGATAGGATTCGGAGTAGTCTCTAGGCTAAAAGTGATGGCTGCTTGCTTAATCATCTAAAGTTGTAAATTGTACCTCATTTCTCATTGTGGCCTTTGCCACTTAGGAATAATAAGGATAAAAAATGAAGGAAACACAAGTAGGATTCAATATTCCTCTATTCTTGTTGAAAAACGGGAACATTTTTCTAGTTCCTACTAAAAAATACCAGAACACAAATCAGAACCTTTTACAAAAATCTTCACTAAATCTTGAGAACTTCTCTTGAAACATCACTTGCTGCATTTTTTTGATGTGGTAAATTAAATTAAGCAGGAGCAAGAATCAAATATAAAAGAAGCAAAGCACATACATCCATAGGGGGATCCTGTTGGAGAGCCGTTAATGAATCCAGGTGAGCCTGGAACGCCCAGGTTTGACATGGGGACGTTGCTGTAGCCATTCATACTATTGCTGGAAGTGCTGTAATTGGACTGTTGAGGTGTGGAACTGGATGAGTAACCTCGGGGTGAGATGCTGCTTGTATTACGAATGTAACCTTAAAAAACCACATTTCAAAGCATGTCAATGGATTTGGCTTAAAACTTTCTCCTGTATATTCCCTGCTTAAATAAATTACTTATTTACATCCAGATTGATTAAAACATTTAGGCAAGTACCATTAAATTCAGTGGGTTTTATGCACATGCTTTCAAGTTAAGCAATATTAAGTTTTAAAACAGTGTGGTAAACTAACTTTTTGAAGTGAACTGATGTATATTTTTCTAATCAGATTTGATTTGTTAAAAGCTGAAGTTTGTTCTAAGACCTGGAAAAAAATGTGTATTCTCATCTTCTTCTGAGGTAGAATTTATAATATATGTGGGATTTTCTACAATCTTAGGGGGGAGGCTATACTTTTCAAATTATTGATGAATTACAAATAAAGCAAGTGCATTACTAAGGGAAAATTATAACCCATATATAGTTTGCAGGTTGACTTTGAAGATACTCTACTTGGGGGAAAGAGTAAACCATTTTTTGTCTTAAAAAACAACCCCACAAATATTTGAGAACCAAAATTTAGCCTCTTTTTTCTCCAAAAAGAGACTGGAAGAACACTATAGCTATCAGCATTAAAGTACAAGGCTATTATCACAACTGCAAAAGGATTTTCCACAGAAAAGCTTTCATTAGAAAGATGTGATCCAATAGCTACTTTAAAAGTGGTTACCATTTAGATATCAAGTCAGGTTATTTCTGCCCATTTATATTATGAAGTTTTAATTGAGGGCTGGTAAGACCTTATGAAAAAAACTAGCAAAATTATCTACATGATGACTTTTGACATGGCATATGTAATATTAACTTCATATGACATGGTTTTACTGCCTTAGAGTGTTAAACACAGCTATTCATGCAGTCAACCACAGACTGTACGTTACTGGAATCGAGTGCTAAAAATCAAAATATTCAAGAGCCAGAAAAGGCCCAAAGTTGATATTGCTCCCATGATGTATTACTGTTGGTATGTCATTTTATGGCACGTTTTCCTAAACAATCAATAATATATCTGGAGTAAATGTAATACATACAACATATGCAAGTTGGTAAAATTAACACTGAAGAAGCCGCCTTAAAAAAAAAAAAAGAAGAAAATTCCCCACCTCTCTAACTGTGAGAGGTTTTGTTCAGTTGCTGTCCTTGTCTTTTATAAAAACAGATACACAACAACAACAAAAAAAAGATACTGAGGGGAGCAGGGAGAGAATTCAGGGTTAAGCTGGCATCAAAAAATACTCAAAAATTATTTCAGCCATAGCTAATCTGGTGACTGGAACCTGGTGCAGATACAGTATCATCCAAAACGGCAGCGCACATCCATTTCGAATGCTGACAGTTTAAAGCCATCTTTCTGTTCATAAGCTGAGCAGGTAGAGAAGTTGAGAAACTACTATGGAAGCAACTGTGACTCAATTTTCCGTTGTTTAAATTAACACTATACTACGCGCAATGCTTACCTTGGTTGTTCCCCTGTGTTGACTCTGAAATGCTGACTCCTAACTGGCTACCATAGGAGTTAATTCCCATCATACTGCTGTGAGCAGGAGAGCTAGACAGCGCGGGGATCTGTGCGGGATTCCTTGGTACACTGTAGAGAGCTTCTGCGATGTCTGCGGCTCGTTTCAGAATGATGTCCTGCAGAATGAAAGGGACAAGTTCAGAAACGTGCTTGGAGAAATTTTCTAGTGTTTATTACTAAACCTAAATGTATACCACTCCCCTGTTGAGAGTAGTCATTCTGACCTGGTTGTTATGTGGCGTTCCGTACAGTGCTTCAACTAGGTCAGCAGCTCGTTTCAACAGCATTTCCTGGAGGATGAGCAGATGCATAAAATTGACTTTTTAACAGAAAAGGATTTCAGTGCAAATAAAACCATGGGCTAGTATTTTCTGAAGTGACTAGTGTTTGTGTGTGGTCATTCCGAAAACTGGGTTCCTTAAAGAGCTGTTATTTGCCACTTATCTGAAAAATTGAACCCCTTACAGTATCTCAAACTAGACATGCAAAATCATCAGTCACTTTGGAAAGCGTTGACGTGCGTGCGAGCGAAACATCAACCGGCAGCGACTGTGTTGCATGCCCAGTGCTCCATCTTGATCTTGGAGCTCTCCATAGTCCTGAAGCTGCTTTAAGCACACGAGCTTCAAAAATGGAGACAATCTTCACACATACCCAATTTAAATAGGAACTCCGTTCCCTACTGAATTTCAATATATTCTTTTGCATAGACACATAAAAATCTGATTAATCTCTGTGTCCGTTTATTTTTTTCTCAATAATGGTAACCAAACAAATAAAACACTTTAGCTATCTTAGGTTACCTCTGGTTGTAGGAAAAAAATTACAGAGTATACTATCTGAATACAATAGTCTTTCATCATGCAAAGATGATATTAGGTACTTTTGGTACTGCACTAAAATCTAGGAATATAGTCATCAATGCCACTCTCATTGTGCTAGGCGCCACATCAACACAGTGTGCAGTGTTACGTATACCTAAAATCCTGAGTTGTTTCAACACATTCATACTGCAGTTGTTGCTACAGAAAAAGTTGAGCTTTAAATGTTTTTTACTAAAAGATTCCCTTAAGGTTAGACCTCTGTGACAAATCCTTTACGTAAGGTTAGACCTCTGTGACAAATCCTTTAATTCCATCATGTATCATTTAGGTTCAGAGATTTGCCAATACAGACAAACACAGAGGACCATGAATATGAGCTGGGAAGATATCTGCACTGGACTCTCATTTCGGCAGCAAAAGAAGTTCACAGTGTTTGAGCTTTAACAGATAAAAATTAGTGGTGGCTGTGGGTTCTACAAGACCAAATTCTTGTTTGGACCTACAATTAATTGGTGAACTTATGTTCAGATGTAGTTGTCATTTAAGATACAATTTTGTCTCTTTTGTGAGTTAGAACATATTTAGTGGGCTCAGTGAAATGCTGAAAAATATTTTACCTTAGCTAGTCTTTCAGGGTCACCAGGATGTCTTGGGATGACCTTTTGCAGTCTTTGGAAACCATAATCTATGGTAGGTTCATTTAAAGCTGAAAGGAAAACAGAAAAAAAACCCCACATATTCTATGAGTATATATCTTTGTATGACTCTCAAGTTTCATTACCTAAGAAAGATGGATTTCACAGCTTTGCCACAGAAAACCTCTCCTTGCCTGGGTTCCTAGAAGGTGTACATTGCCCACTGCTCAGGCGAGCTCTGATCACTGTGTATAAGACAGGCTGAGTAGTAAGCTAAGCTTTACAAGAACTTCTGCATGAGGATCCCTAATCTCTTTTCAGAGGTAATACTTACTCGACAGCTCAGAAAGCTGGGACACACAAGCTATTAATGTTGGACCGTGTTATACAGACCAGGTCCCCTGACTCCTGGTACGCCGACTCCACCCATTTAATTGTACAGATGTTTCTGCCATTAGCTGTATAATGGCATATAATGGCATGTCCAGGAGCATGGTGCTCCTGGACAATCCCTCAGTGTGTCTCTAATTTGTTAAATAAAGAATTAGTGGTATCTTTCTGCTTACAGCTATGCCTTGAAAGAATTCTGTGCATTCATGCGTATACACACGTGTGCACACGCACCCTATGCCTGCTCATTCTGGTGGGCACAAGCTGAACTGAATGTACATGCTCATTTTATGCCAGTGTTCCAGAAAATACATTCAGAGGCAGGTATGTTGAAGCAAATGACAAAATCTATGTGAATGCTGCATGGTATTTGCAAAACCTGTAACTGAAAGTATTCCAGAGGGTTACCCTAGCGAGTCTGGCTTACGCAATAAGGGAGAAAAAACAGCATGACTTCTGCACTTAAAACTGCTCCAGTTTCCAATGCTGACTTCTCACCGTCTATCAAAGGCTGAGTGAATAATTTGACAGATACAGCAGGGAAGCATTGTCACAAAATACTCCTTTTAAGGATGAATGTATTTAACTCTGGACAAAACTGACAATGGCAGTAATATAGCAAGTTATGGTACAAATGCAAATTAGAACAGGTCTTCTATGTTTGTTATACAGTCGGAAATCAAGAGTACCGTATTTGCTCATCTAACACACACATGACACACACACCCCCAACATTTTGCCGTCACAAACTAGGGCACAGCTATTCATTAGACACATTAACTTCTTCAACTGTGTGTGGCTATTATGCATACATAGCTACTTCACTGTAATGATGTTAATCTCTAGTGGATAAGCCAAGATATTTTGTCCCAGATCCTCAGTTAGTAATAGCTGGTAGAGCCCTACTGGCATCGCTGATGATTTCATAAAACTTCAGACACTTTAATACTCTCTACTATGAAATCGTGGCAATAATAATCTAATTTCTGATTATTCAAAATTAAACTCCAAATCAATACAGAAACCAAAAGTCAGTTCTGTAGCATTCTGCATACTCATAGGCTTTGACTGCCTCTAATACTTTAGGATTACCAGTGTTTACTAATGCAGTTACAGGTATGGTTTTTTAGAATTTCCTTATACTTCAGAATGTGCATTATAATTCAAACGACACATTCATGCTGAGAATCTTGCTAAGAATTCCATGACGCATTTAGTAAGTAACGTATGTAAGTCCTTTAGCACTGTCCTCATTCAGTGCTAGCTTCTTCTAGCCTCTTGTACCATTTGTGGTTCTTTTGAAAAAAAAAAAATTTTTTTTAAATAACTGGTGACATCAGCACAGCTGAAAACACCTGATTGCAAGAGACACTGATGGCACTTACCAAATCTTCCAAAATATACTTAGCACCTTACAGGATAACCACCTCCAACACCAGAAGAATGAAATTTTCAAGTGAGACAGACTTTTATACTGATCCAGATTCTCTGGTTATCTGTGTCCGTCTTTGGTATAACAACACGAAGGTAAAAGGTCATATTCCCCACTGAGATACATTTTATATTTACTTTTTATTAAATAATTATGACATGGCATGAAGTTTAAATATTACAGGAGATAATCAAGTGGGAATTGAGTAGAGAAAACCCAGACCTGAGAATTTAGTCTTGGCTATACTTAGAATGTCTGTGCTCTCCACTGGGAGCCATTCTGGCTTGCTTAAGGAGTTTAATAATACACATTTCAACTGCCACAGAATCTACATCCCATTTGGGAAGAGGGGTTTTTTTGGGGGGTGGGGTTTTTTGCCAATAATCCTGAGAATTATAGGCCAATTCTCTCAAGGGCCTATACATCATTATGTGCCATTTCTCTTCTTGATTACAAGTCTAATCAGTTAAGTTATATATCTTAAGCTAAGCAAAAGCAATGTAAAATATATAGGAATTTAAATATACATGTATACATAGTTCACTAAAAATAGCTAATGGGAATATACAAAATGCTAATTCAGGAAGAAGAAATTGGCTATTATTCAACAAACATTTTTTCCAATGGATTGACATGGACATTTTCATTCTGATAGATAAATAGCAGCAAATAATTTCTCAACAATGTTGACTTGTTCCAAGAAGAACTCAGCCATTTTGAATCAATGTACATATTATGTCTTTCAGCACAAAAGGTTTTCTGTACAGCTTGCAACAAAATTGCCTACTACTAGTTTTATTCATTAATGAAACAAAAATATCTCTGTCATGAAATCCTGTTAAAAACCAACATCCAACATTTGTAGAAGAAAATGGGACCTTTTCAACTGAAGGGCAAGATGTAGAATCCACCAGCCAGTTTAAACAGCTTCACCACAATACCACTTCCACTGAGAAAAGAGCTACTGGATCAGTAGTGATTTATCTATGTGTTCCATAGAAATATGCCAAAATTATATCCAAATGCTTTTCAGTTCATGGATTCAGAGACCATACAGGGGTCTGACACAGAAGCAGGCCACTCATCATTTCCTACAAATCTGACATCTGAAATGAAACCCCCAAGAAAACCAATTCAGGTACGGAAAAAGCCCTTTGGCAACTCTCAAATCCAGTGTTTCAGGCACAAGAAATTTCCCAGAGCATAGTTTAAAAAATTGTGCATGACATGATATAATGTATACAAAAAAAGAGCAACCATCTAGTGAATAGACTAAATTGTCGGTTAGTCTATAAACTTCACTCTAGCGTAACTGGTTTAACAACAGAATTGTTAGTCAGCAGTAGGGAGAGGTCTAAATGCCCCACAGCCTGCCTGACTTTATTTACGAGAAGGCTCAAATAGAGTACAGTGCAGTGCTGCTGCTTTTATGTTATTCCTTACCCTCCAAAATCCATGCTTTCATTTTAAATACAAGTCTCCAGCTATTATGACTCACTGGAATAGGAGAAAAAAAAATTCTCACACTTGAGCAACTGATGCCACGACATCTGTCTGCATTTGCAAAACCTGAAACAACGGCTCAGTCCCATTCATCTCAACGGGGACTAACTCAGATATCGAATGATAACAGTGCTGACATTTAAAGTATTAATTATTTCACCACACATCAAAGCACGTAAGACTGTTGAAGGAAGATGATGTTATGAAGATCTGCACAATTTACCATGAGTGACAACTCATTCTGATATTGCCAGTGTACGCCTTGGGAGATGCGCACTCTCCCTCTCCGCCAATCAAAAAAGGGCCACATTCAAGGACCTTAGCAAAGTTCTGCAGCTCATCTTTGCTTTACTCCATGAAGCAGACCAAAGGGCAGCAAGTCCTCTGTTTGCAAAGCATGAATGAGAAGAAACAAAGTAGGCATACCTCTAGAAATATTCTGAACCCAGAAAACTGAGCCAGAGGGAGCGTAGTATTTGCAGCGTGATGCCTAACCTTCTTAAGGATGTTAACATAGAGAAAAAGGCACCAGCGGCCTTAAAGGCTTGAATTCCAACTTTGCGCTAGCGACTACCTTCACTCAAGCCAACAGCAGAGAGATGCTTGGTATTCATCCTACAGAATAAAACATTTCCATGTGGCTGGTTACAGAAGCTCGCTTGCTATAATCATGCTAATCCTGGGTTTGGGAGGTACGTACATACTGGTCAGCCTACTCTGAGGGGTACACTGTGGTCCAGAGATGGAAGAATGCTGCTAGAAGTGTACTGCCAGTGGTCCTGTGTTATATTTGCTGTGTTGGTAACAGCTGTTCCAAACACCCTACTCCCAACACAGCGTTGCCTCCTATTGCATGTGTCTTTCATAGGCTAAAGCAGCGTTAGGAGCTGTTCTCTGCAAATGCTTTCTGTCACATCAGTTGTGTTCTGGCCAAGTGACCTCGCTCTTCCCATTTGTAGAGCTCACTGCATCCTTGTAAGTGTTGTTTCCCACAAGCAGATAACAAGACCTTCTCAAATCTACTTACAAGCTTTGGCAAACCAGTACGCTCCTCCTATCCTTGGTACCTGGCATAGAGACTGATACAGTACAACCCAGGAGGCCAACATACCCTACAGATTATTTTATATTGCATTGCTCTGACAAGTTAACCTGAGGATTTCTGCTCAGCAAGGAAAATTATGTTCAAAATCTCCCTGATATACACATTTCCAGGTTAGCATCTCTATGACAAAGTAAATGCAGAGCTGTGATCAAACTTAAGATATGGAAGCCTACGAGACACATCCTCAGCTGGCGTAAACTGATGTAAGCGTTATTAAAGTCAAGGGAACTATAATAGAACTACTTATAGCAGCAGAGAATTTGAATTCGTGTAGTATTAAAAGCAGAATATGAGGCTACCGCTAGATTAGCGGCAGAGAACAAATGTCTTATTATTCTAGGAACAGCTAATGAAAGAAAAGTAATTCAGAACACGGAGATGTATGTGTAACCTGTATTCTCACCAGATTAAGGTATACACGGGGACTAAATGTTTAGTTGTGGTGATTTAAAAATAGACATTTTATCTCTCGCTTTAAGTATATACTTAACTACTAAAGTATGTAAGTTGGCTCAGCAACTGCCATTAACATATAACAAGCCATTTCTCTAGATTTTTGCTGTACTCTGTAGCACACCGTTAGATGTCCATAGAATCCTGTTGGCTTCACTCTTATAAAAGTTTTCCATCTGGGAACCTTATGGAAAAGTCCACACATCACATTTTGGCGATGAGAGGAATTTGATGGCTGAGTTGCAGCACCCTGAATGATAGCACTTAAGAGTGGAAACGCTGACAGAACCATAACTACAGCAATGCTAGCACAGCACACTTCGCAAGGAGCCTATTATAAATACACATTACAGGACGCGTATGAGCTCCCATAACAGCTCCACTGTGGCATTTAGATTTACCCTTGAAATTTATATCTAATTTTTATATTCATCTTTTCAACAGTTCATCATGTTCTTCTTCAAACAACCTGTCTTGTTGTGACTCTTTAAAAAAAATGAAAAAAGCTCAAGTATAATCAGGTCAAACATTAATATTTGATTGAATACTACATATTGAGGGCATAGGCAGATACACACAATACTAACCAAGATCACTGCTTTTCTGTTTCCGTGTTTTAGAAGAGCATTGGTGTTCCGGTGATCGAAAGATATGACTAGAACCTGAGAGATCCATTTCCTTGTCTATCTTCAGCTTTCCTGTATAACCACAGGCAAGTGGTTAATCTTTCTTCGTCCTTCTGTGGCAACGTCTCGTGTAAAATGGAAGCACGTGTCTTTCTGTAAAACTGGTTGCCCATGTCTGATGCAGTGCGGCCCCGATGAACCCTCTGAGGTCTGGTTTTATAGGAATAACTATTTTCGTTATACCTGTGAAGTACCTATAGCCAGCTACTCAGTATTTTTCATATGACTTGACCCTTTGTCCTTTTCATCTGAGGTTGTATCTCAGCACTTAATAATTACGAAGGACTTAATACAACATGACCCTGATAGTACTGGGGCTGCTAGTTGTTGCTGCTGTTACTAGTTCTGACAGAACTACATCTTCCCATGCTTTTAGTTTGCAGAATTTCACACTTTTTGGTCTCCTGGGCTTGATGTTAATGTCTCTGCATTTCTTAGGTTTTTGCCAAGCGCAAGCTGAATGTAAAGGGAAGGTATTTAGGGGAGCAATTCTCATTTACAGAAGCAACTACAATTCAAGAGGGAAGTGGTCTTATTTGTGTCTCCAAGCCTACTGCATTCTCTGGTATGTTCTCTATAAACTTTGTGACAGCGCGGAGGAATATGTTGCAATATAAAGTACTAAAAGTATCAAGAAAATAATAAACTTCAATTATCACGAAAAAAAACCCAGATTTTCGTTATGATGCACAGGGCTACCTTACCAATAATTACAAAATCTATTGAACTTTCCTCTTCGGTATTTTATATGATATTTGTCTGCTACACTCTACCCAACAAATAGCTACTTCTGTGCTGCTACTGAGTATATTTGACAGAGTGCTATGGATACACATATGCATCGTGGGCAGTGGCATTTAAACAACCTGGTTTCCTGAGGCTGGTAGCTTCTCTGCTGCCTAATAATGTGGTTGAGCTCTTCACCCTTTCTTTCAGTGGAGGATTAATTCAGATCTCTCTTACCATTTTCCATTTTCACAAAAATGTGCTGGAACTGTGCATCTTTGATGCTCCTACCTTTCTGACAAAATCTGATAGAAATTGGTCAAGAGGTTCAAAAGTTGTTGTGGAAGTTTTGAAGGCAACTTACAGGCAGAAGGACCTTGACTGCCTGAATGTGGCTTGCCTAGGTTAAAAATCAATGCGTTTGTTCACAGCAGGATCACAGCAGTTTTCTGATAGCACAGCCACAGAAAGAAAAAAAAAATGCCACCATGTTATTTTCATAGCTTAGAAGTTGTTTTTACTGCTATTAGCAGCAACAACCGGGGGGAATTGATTACACAGGTGAGCCTCTACCTAATAGCTGTGTTTATCATTTTGCCTGCCATGGCGGGAGAACTGCAGGTTCTTGAATAGACAGATTGAAAAGTTGTCTGTTCTACCCTCGCTCTAACAGCTCGGCATCTTCTGTGAAATGCTGTTTTGTAACATATGGCAGTAAGCACCCACTCACTCCTCAGAGAATGCTAACAGATATCCCTGTGCCAGTAACAGCAGTAAAACAGGGATAGTATTTTTAACTTTCTTCTCTTCTGCTGGCTCCTGCATACATCTTCATGTCCTTTTTTGTGGAAGCACTCTAATTAACATGTCAAAGAACTGCACTGCAGTCTGACTCAAGTCCCCCCTAGATGGTACAAGTAAGTCTTGCACTTAAAACAGCTTTACAATAATAAGACGACTTTTCTTCATAGAGGAATGCACATTTCTATTACTCATCTCTTATCACTCCATTCCTAAACCTCTTTCAGCACAGGTACCAACAGCACACAGATGGTGACCCTCAGTAATGCTTGTGTTGAAGACACTGTGAGAGCAAGGCCTCAAGAAGCAGAAAATGGCATAGAAGAACTTTACATTTAAATCTGTAATAATAAGTCAAGAATTAACAGTCTCTCTTTCTCTGAGGGTAAAAGCATCGGGCCTAGCGCAACCCCCACAAGCCCTATACCGCACGTGAATCAATGACACTGTCCCTTTGCTTAAGGAGTGCCAGACTCCGGTAAGTTAACCTGTCCCACCTCTTTAGAAACATGGTTGTATTTGCATGCAGATTTGAATCTGTAACCTGTTTGACGGTTTTGCTGGTTATCTCTCAGGAAAAGGAGATAGGTGTAACCTGCTCAGACATCAGATTCATCTTTTCCCAGAGACCAGTGAATCAATGCACTGCCTTAGAATAAAATGTATTTCAAAAGCTTTTGGCCAGATCCTGATCTCACAAGCCCAGGAATAATTCCAGAACGACTTTGCACTGCACTGGAGTTATTCTGGTGCAAAATCAGAAAAAAGTCCTAATCTCTTTGAGCTTGATTCAAAGTCAGTTTCAGTCAATGGATATCATTTCAGTATCTTCAATTAACTGTGGATCAGACCTCTATCATAACAAAAATAATCCTTTGTCAGTTAAGCTTTTATTTCATTAGAGTACCTAGTATAATTGAAGACTTAATACTTGCTGCAGGTTTCTAGGTGTGGCAGTTGTATGAATAAATATGTTTCCACATACATAACTAAACACTAATTTAGCATGTGTGCTAATAAAGGGTATATAGAATGGCATAAGACAGTGACAGGATCTCCACAAATCATCGGTTCTTTCTCAAGTCCTGAAGTGTCAGATTTTCATTCAGATTTTTCCACTTCTGGAAAAATTCTAACTAATTCACTCAACAGGTGGTTAAATTATTACCTTAAATTTTTTAATAAAAAATTTCTTGGACCTTCATTATTATTTTTGAGTTAAATTATGATTTAAAATTTGACAATTATAATACACAAAGATTACTTAATGAGGATTGTTAGTAGTAAAAGGCTTTAAAAAATCAAATAAATCCTTCCATTTTGAGAAATCTGAATATGATTTGGTGGGAGCAAGCCATTCAACTTTAATATAAATCCACCCTTTAGAGCTTGGTGCACCATTACGCTCCAGCCATGCTTAACAGGGTATACATTGTATGCCATCATTGTTACTACTGGGACTGACAGTTCAATGAGATGGTCATCTTGTCCCATCTGTTTTTTTTTCTTTCAGATCTATAGATAATGTTCTCCTGCTAGCAGAGGTGAATATAGGGCACTAAATAAGTTGATAATCCATTTAAGAATAAAAACACCCCAACAGATTTATTTTCCACTCAGCTTACTGGCTTCTCTCAATACAAGATGTTCTCCTTGTCCTCTGGGATTATCTTGAAAACGAAAGGTTACCCCCAGCCAGAGGGAAATGTAAAGTAAATACTGTTATAAATAAAACATCTTCCAGTATGTAGAACAATGCTATCATGTTCCTGTACACTCAGTGTATCTATAGGCAGACCCATATAATAACAGCATGAGCTCTAATCTGGAAAAAATATTAACATGTATAGTAACAGTGCCTTAACACCTCTGCACAACAATGAAGCTATCTCCTTACGTGTCCAAATGTCACAACTAGCAGAGTGGCCTTCAGACAGCAAGAGGATAAAGAAAGAAAGTAAAGCAAGCAGAGAGTTGTCAATACTGATTACCAAAACAAAGAGGCTCTGAGCTCGAGCTCCTCTAGCATAAATGACAATCACCTACCTGTGTAAATAAACCTGCCTGGTGCGCCTTTGCAAAACTGTTTGGATTTGTATGATAATGTCACTTCAACCACTCCGGGAATGTGACGTGGAGGTGTCTGAACTCGAATGGCATGAGGCGTGATAAGCTAGGAAATAACAAAAGGAGAGGCACGATTATGACATGCCTGTGTTATTCCCCCCGCTTTCACTTTTCACCCTCCAAACATGCTTTATGAGTAAATGCATTGGTTATTCCTATATAGGAGACACTATAGATCAGGCAAGTGATATATCTGGTCTAGTTTCTTGCCTCCAGGAGAGGAAGACACATTTTAGGATAAATTGTCATCAGGAAAATTGTACTGCTTATGCCCATTGGTTAATTGCTGGCTTATTTCTGGACCCAGCGGGAATTCTTTCTCCTTCCCAAACTCTAACCTTTTCTTTACTTCTTTACGTTTACCTGTCTCCAGACGCCTAGGAATTATTCAATTCCATTCTGGATATTACTGAGCATTTGGCCTCAATAATATCACATAGCAAGGAGTTCCACAGAGAAAACATGTTCCATGAATTTTCTTCACACAGGTTTATATGGCCCGCCTTACATGCCACTGTTTTTGTACCATTATTGGAATAGGAATTAACACTGTTCCCCCTCCACTTTCCTCAGAAAAGGAGAATTTCTTTGGTTTAGCAATAGGGAGGTGCCTCTACCTACCTCACTCCATACAAGCATGGTTCCAAATACAACTTGCAGCCCATCAAAGAAGTTGTCTCCAATAATGATCACCATTGCTCCCCCTGTAGTCCAACCTTCACTTGGGCTGATTGCTTTGATGCATGGTGTGGCTAAACAAAGCAAAAAGGACATCAGAGCATCAGGTTATGGGGGTTTTTTTCCCCACGCAGCTTTAAGACTATTTGCAACACTGGGTATAAACCCTTGCAGCAAATGGGTGCAAACAACTTCTGTGCACATTAAACAGTCCTAAGTCATATTGATGCAAACTGTAGCTTAGAGCAGCTTCACCTGTCCACTCCCGGGAGTTTCTCCACTGCCGCAGCTTCATGGCTGGCATGAATTCCCTAGTGCCGACAAAGGCCTAGGACAAGTCCCCTCCAGCCATTCACCCATGAAGGCTGCTTTACCATTCCACGAAGCCAAATAAATAAATAAATAAATAAATAAATAAATGCATGTTTTCTGCCTTGCTAGTGTTAATTACTTGCCTATTCATTACTGGCACTTAACATCATATCATTAAAGCCTAACAGGCCAACTGTAGTGGGTGTAAAAATGAAACGCTTAAATGATTGTGCAGAGGCTGTTTAAAAAAAACCCCACTCATTTAGCATACGATCACACAAATGCTAAACCCTGTGGAAAGAGAGGTAGATTAAGATGTGTTAAGTTTATCAATGGGTAAAAAAGATACAGCAATATCAAATGTTTCCTCCAATTCCTATCAGGAGACAATTTCTAACAATTTTCTTGATTTTATAGAGTAGATTTTTTTTCTCCTCTCTTCCATATGTTCAAGGCCTCTGGACTATACATCCCATCAGGAACCCAATATGGTTTCCAGGCCATAACCAAAGTCAATCCATCACTCCATTCCCAATGTTGACAGGGTCAGAGGTGGAGGGGAACTTTGGCAGTGCTCCAAAAACATGAGACTCCTTTGAACAGCCAGTCAATCACATCCAATCAGTCAAGGAAAAACTGGATGGCTTCCTAGGCTAGGAATCCTGGGATTTTCCTTCTACCATTTCACTGCCCGCTGGGGGAGAATTAACACCACTCTGAATTCTTTACTGATTCAATCATTTTCTTCCAGTTCATTAATTCTTCTTTTAGGTTGATATAGGGCACAGTTAAGAAGTGGGGCAGCAAAACATTATAATGAAATAATATCCTTGCTTGTCTTTTCTACTAACATCACTAGCTCTTCTCACTTTCACTAGCTGCAGGGGAGGGAAAAGTACGCACAGATAGCATTTTCTAGTAATTTTGAGTACTGTCTGCACGAGAGAGGTGGAATGCGTTGGTAATGAATGTATGGGAAGAGGGAGAGGAGGGGCCAGCATTTTGAAGCTTAACAGATACAAGTATTTGTAATTGCTTTAATATAGTCCAAAACCCATCCTGTAGACGGCCATGAGCCTTGCTTAGCCAAACAAACTAAAATCAATTAGTGTCAGTTTCCTTCTGTGCATTGTTATGCTTTGCGCACAGTTTGTTTAAGGGAACTAGTGACACTTTTTCATACACATCTTGTGCTGTAACAGTTCTGTTTAACTAAGATGTCATGTTGCCTAATTTGCCTGAAATCAAATCTATCCCAGCTGAATGAGAAGTCTGAAATTTAGATAATACTTAGTGTTTCTATGTTTTTCATCTTTGCAGTACAAATTAATTAATAAATTGGGGGGGGAGGGGGAGCCAGTCTCTTAGATGTAAAGAGGATCATATTTTGCATGCAGTAGACACTGTTTTTCTGCCTCTTCCTTCTCTAAACCCCCTGAGGTTCTATAGTTCCCCCTTAGCTCTCCTTCCCTCCTGAAAACAAATAGAAATTGAAGAATGGGTAATATGCTTTTGCATTCATTTGCATACCGTTCTTCACACAAATATCCCACCTTCTGAAGGGTCAAGTCTCCTTGCTCTCCGTCCATGCTTGGAGTTGTTGTGAACAAACATGTTGTCAGACACTGCCAGTACGTGCCCATCAACGTTCACTGTTGTTGATAGCACAACCTAGATATTTAGAAATGGAAGAAAAAGGAGTCAGGTAAACAATTTATTTTGAAATTTAACTTGTTAAGTATTAATTATTCAGTTTAGTTAAAACCCTGTTCTGTTTGTAAAATGGGGTCATGTCCTGCAAGGTTTACTCCCTAACAAGAAGGGAAGAAAATATTTTCAGCCTTCATTCTATGCATTAATTCCATTTAACATAGCATCCTAAGGGCTGTATAAAGTCCTTACTGTATAATGAAGCAGCTACTGCAGATGGCCCTAAATTTAGTTTCCTATGACACAGCGTAGCAAAGATGGCAAAGAGGTCTATATATACCAACCAGGAGGGCAGGCTGCAGAGCACCACAGCAATTTGCCCTCTGATACATACATGCAGATTCAGAGCCATCTGCTGTACTGCGCACACATGCAAATGTATCTGCATCTGCTCCAAAAATACAGGCCTCCATTGACTGAGCAAAATGGAAACTCCTACTGTGTGAAAACAGTACCTAATATCATGTCTGGTTTTTGACCTGTGCATGCTCAGTGCCTCTTGAAAACCATCTGAGCCTGAGGACCCCGGAATCAAGCAGCAGTTTTTAAACCTTAGCCTCCATGACACATGTTGCTGGGCTCCAATAGCATATGAATTCTTAAAGGAAGTAACTGTATATGTTAATTAATCCCACTTAGTTTTCCCTTTACGATACAATATCCAAAGCTGTAAGTCCTATAAATGCAGAAATATATGTGCCTTTAAACCACAAGCTTTTAGGAAAAAATGAACAAACTGCGTTTTAACTACTGAGAGAAGATGCAGCTTACTGAAACTTTTGGGTTTCAACCATCAGTTGGTGTAAATCAGCTTAACTCCATTCAGCTGCTCCACAGCTACAGTAATTCACAGCTATTGAGAATCTGACCCTGGATGCGTTCATGAATTTTCACAGATATAGCTGCCATAGTCTAGGTAAGAGAATGTTGAGCTCTAATTGTTGATAAAACTATATTTGGCATATAGCAGGAGAAACCTTGCCCTCCTACAGGATTATGCTAGCTTAAAGAATACTTTCTTTCTTGAGACAAGTTTAATTCATTCCAAAAGGCTCTTGTCATACTGTACTCTTATACTTCTCAAGCATTCTTGTCACAAAATGTGTTGCTTTTGTATGCCAACTGATTTCATCATTGCACATTTGGGTGGAGTGAGACTCCTATCCAAAGTGAACATTTCCCGCATGACATAGCTGAACCCACTCAGATGCACTTCATTATTTTCCATTAAACAATGGAAATAAATTTTAATCTCTCACTGGCCAGCACAGAGCACACTATGGTAACAGGGGAATAGACCTGAATTATTCCAGTGTCTGAAATATTTACGACAAGTGTTTAAATTGTAACCAAATGTAAATAAAAAGTATATCATATATACAGTTACACTATATAATATATACATATCTGACCTCACATACACAAGGTATGTATGCGATAAACACACACCCACATGCTCTCAGTATGAGATCTTTATAATATATGCAGACTTCAAGTATACACACGTTCCCTGTTTGAATAACCATTTGGGTGTAAATGTTGCGCACAATACAAGAGCTTATTTCAGTAAGAGTTGTAAAGATGCTGTAGCATGAGTAATAGCAAGAAACAGTCCACTGTTGAGAAGATAAGTGCTGAGCATCCTCTATTCCCTGAGCCAGCAGGAATGGAAGATACACTTTTAGACCTCTCTCCATGAGGGGTTTCATTTTTATTCACCTCTCCCATTCATCACAGGAGGGTCAAAGCCACTTGGCATTTCACAGTCTGGGACCTAGGGTAAATAAATACAGCAATCTCAGGGACAGGACAAAATGCAAAGCTCAGATCTGGACCAGAACCTTCTCACAGTTTTGGACCTTATTTGCAGTAATCTCTAAGGTACTGTTGAAACGCAGCAGAGACCTTTGTCATCTTTGCTACGACACTGCTAGCCAACTCATTATCAATGACATGGAGTAAGAACATGTGAGATTACGAACATAAAAATTACTGAACTTCTTCACTTTCCTGCAGTCATACACTCTTGCCTGACGAAGATGACAATCCAATTGTTTTATACTGAAGATTAAAAAACAATGTTTTACGGATAAAAGGAAGAAGAATGTGCATTCCACTATGGTCTCTAACTCCCAGGCCCTTCCCTTTCACAAGCCAACTGCTTTCCCCCAGTGAGTATTTCCTGGGTCATGAAGGGTGACCCTTTCCATCTGGAATCAATCAGTCAACTCCTGACAACTTCCTGAAACACCTCACTCCATTTCCTGTTCTCTCCCCCTTCTCTCTTTCCCCCTGGTTTGCTTCACTCTTCAAAACTGCAGGCCACAGCAGCTTAATGTTAGAGGGTCAGACACAGTTAGACTCCAAAACACTACACAAGAACACCTTTGACCTTCAAAAATCTTTACATCTTAGCTAAACAAATCAAGGTCAACGTTTCTTACCATTACCTTGTTAACCATTTCTATGCATTTTTGCCAATACCCTTCTGAGCATGTATTTATCAATAACACTTGTTCTCCTAACATCGTAAAACATTCCAGGCCTTTTTTTTTTTTTTTTTTAAACCTGTACTTAGTGCCGATGAAAGGTGATGTGCAAATTTCCCTGGAGATTTAAATTCTCAGATTTGTCCACAGCACTGGCAAATTACTGGCAAATGGTTTTGGTGCATTTTTATTTTCCTGATCTGATGGCACTGCTTCTTGTGCATGATAAATTGGCTTCTATGCCTATTCAGTTGATGGTCTTTTACCTAAAATCAGTAGTTAATGCAAAATGTAATCTTAAGGGAATGATTTGAGAACATCAAAATATATCAGGTAGGCCATGGATTCTGGTAATTGTAGTTGAGGGCCAAATTTGACACAGACAGCATAAAGACTAAAGGTTTTGTGCCGCCCAACGGCTGGATCAACCCGTCATCACTGTTGGAGTTTCAGAGGACAACCGATCAAGCAAGAAATAGACACAGCAACGTGTTACTCCTTCACCCATCCAAATGTAGGTTCCATCTCTAAGAACAGCGAGGGAGTTACAGGCTTCTACATGGTGTTTTCAGCAGTTCTTAAGATTCTCTCTGCAAATCTGCAAGGGTCTTGTTGTTAGCTATGAAGCCACAGACATAAAACAACGATTCCCCAGCAGTACTGAAGAAATGCATGTGCTGTATCTCCACATTATTTTTGTTTCCCGAGTGCATTTCTGTAATGTAATCCCTGCTCAAAAACCACAATGAGGGTTCACCTACCATGACATTCAGTCAAACCGTCTTTAGCATGTTAAACTCAGGTTCTCTGAGCTGCACTGCCCCTCTTCCACTTCCATGCACAGTTCAAAGTGTTATATTTCTTTACAAACCTTTACCTGGGTACTACAATCTTTCCTCCCCCATCTATACATTATATCAGTATTTCTATATTCTGAAGTATGCTCCTCTTCAAATCACATATATGCAAGTAAATACACATCATCATATATATAAAAGCTGTATCACTCACAGACACCTATTTAGACATATGGTACAAACATTCCAGGCATACAGGCATTTACTTACATGTAACATATCTGATCGCTGTGTAAATGATCTCTCTCAAAAAATTCCTGTTACCATTCCAAGTGTGGAAAAAATTCTTTATGATATTGTACATCTGGAAACAATATTACATTCCTGATGCACTTTCCCTTATAACTCTCTAGTCACAGCACCATGTTATTTTAACTTTTCAAAAGAATAACTACTATGAGGATTTAAAAAATTATCATCATTATTATTATTTTCCAGCTGGGTGGAAGAAAAGATGTCAGGCCTCATCCTGCTGTCTTCACTTGGACAGGGCTCCCATTGATGTCAACAGGCGTTTTGGTTAAGCGAGTAATACAGGAGTAGATGCTAGAATATAATGTGTTTGCTTCATAGTTGGATTAGGAATAAGATAAACAATGTGAAAAATGCCAGCAGCCTCTCTCTGCTCAAAACTTCCATTGAATTCTTTGGGAAATCCTCCCTGAGACCCCGAGCCTGCTGCAAACTCTAGGCTAACAGAAAAAACTATGCACATGGCCTTCATTTCAGGAATGGGGCCTCCTAAGATTATAGGGGCACAGGGGTAGGAGATAACGCCTGGGTCACTGACATCTAGTCTCCTGCTATTACAGACAACCAAACCATGTAGCTACTTTTATAAAATTCTCTTCAACCTTTTCAAGCTTTTGCCTTTGGAACTCCTCTTGTTTTAAAGCCTACTTGTCCTGATGGTTAGGGAATTTATGGTTTAATGCCTAAATTTATTCCCAGTCAGTTTATACTTAACTCTAGCTTTAAAATTATTATTTCCCATTCTGATCTACCTTAGGATATTTTTAGACAGCAGTTACATCCCTTCTCAGTGCATGTCACTAAGTATTTGAGCCGATCTCTTGTCCACTCCCCAGTCACCTTAATGACCCATTCCTGCACCTGTTCCAATTTCATTTTCATTCTCCTTTGAAGATGGTTAAACCAGTATATTGTATTCCAAACAAGAAATCAGTAGGGTACAATCATACAAATGCATCCTTCTTTCTGCTGGCAAAGCTTACCTGAGACATAGCAGAATCTCATCTGTGGTTTGTTTTTAATAGACGATACACAACTCTGGCAACTCACTGTCACAATGGTTATTTGGTCTTCAGATCTGAGCACATTAAGCTCCTTGAGTGTTTTTTTCTTTTGCGGTTGCAGTCAGTCCCTCCCTTACTCATATAGAATCTAAAATAACATCACCTTTTGTTGGGTCAGTCACTATCTGATGAAGAAATCTGCCACCAGTAATAGCTCTAGGACTCTGCTGATACTAGTTGCATTTGTTTCACAATTTATACCTGGGAAATTAGTCTCCCATAACGACATTAGTCTGTGTAGTATTCATCTCTCTAACAACAGTTCAGCAATCTCTATCCATATCCAAATCTGACCATGA